AAAATCAACCAAACTCAAATTCATCAAAAGCATCCTCGAAATTCGTTCGAAACTCCACACACAATCAAATATGCAAATTGACTAAATTCGACATTTCAGACTCAATAGAACCATCGAAATACGAATCTGAGGTCTCCTTGATCCAAAACTCATAAAAGTCACAAGAAATAAACATAATACTTAAAAAGGCAAAAATAAGCTCGTGACCTCTAAAAATAAAACAAAGATCTACCTAGGCTTAAAATCATCCCCCGGATCCAATGAAACTCTCAGAATCCCGATCCGAGCATCCGAACCCCGAATGTTAACCAAAGTCAACCCAAAGGCTAAGATTTCATAAATTTTCAATTTAGGACCTCAAATCCTCAAAAAGACTCCAAATTTGAAACCGATGACTCTCGTAGACCAATTTCCACATTTTGGGACTGTTGAAATCGATAAATTTTCATCACTCGAAACTTCAAAAGATATCAAAACCCCCTTTTTAACAACCTTAGTCTTTCAAAGTTAAAACTTACAAAGATCACCACATTTACTCAAAGTTCGAAGCCAACTTTTAGAACTCGAATATAAAAGACTTGGGGTCAAGATCAGGAGGGGAGAAATGGTAAATTACCAAAAATGACCAATCAGGTCATTACAACTCATGTGATTTAGTTTTCATATTCCAACATTTCATAAGAAAAGAATAATTTGGAGTTTCAATCTCAAAGAAAGGTATAGTCTTTAATTGAGGTAGGTTTCCATTTACTTGAAGTTAGACTTTTCTTAGTTTCTGATATGTGATATGAGTTGTATTACATGTTTATTGGTCTTCCGATATAGTTTTTCTTATGTGTCATGACAAAAAAAATGAACGTGATGGCGCTCGTCTATTCCATCAAGACAAGTCAACCTCAAACTCAAAAATAAGAAAGAAATGTGAAAAGTAAGACAATAAAAACATAAGATCGAAAAACTTAGTCATTCTAATATAACCCAAAACCTGGTTGTCACGTGTATAAGCCACTAATGTATTAATACAGAATTGAAAGATAAGTATTAGTCTCAATGTCTTTGTCTCTAGAATAGAACAAAGCATAAAATAAGGAACACGAGGGTTCGCCAAGATAACAAGCAACTACCTCTCAAAGTTCTTCGAAAGCCTCGAAAATATAGAAGAAGAGCAATCCCATGGAACTGGTCTCGGAACCTACATAAGTGTATAAGCAAGGAGTGAGTACCAAACAACATGGTACTCATCAAGAAACTAACTAAACAAAGCAAAACTAAGATAGAATACGAGTACTCCTTTCATCCCAATTGAACCACCTCAACTACAATCTGCATAAAAATCAGTCCAAACCTAACATTTTACAAAGTACAGTTCATATGTTTTCATAATCACAGTCCAACAGTTACAGTTTAGTAATCACAAGTATCAAGCATGTCAATCACAAATGTCAAGTAGATAAATCACGATTACCAAGTAGATCAATCACAAGTATCAAGTTCATCAAATCACAACGACCAAGTACACCAAACACAAACTCAAGATTATCATGCACAATGTCAATCCGGACTCATGGGCAAACGCCGATAGTCTATGAAATCACCGGTAGTGACCTCGATATCAATAACACTCATCAACAATGACATCAATAACACTCGTCGGAAATGACATTGGCATCAATAACACTCGTCGGCAATGACGTAGTCTTTAATAACACTCACTAATAATGACCTCGACATTAACAACTCTCGCCAGTAATGACCTCGGCATTAATATCACTAGCTAGAATCATTTTCCTTCGACATTATATAATGTCACTTGCCAGAACCATTTTCTTTCGGTATAATCATCACATGTCTCTCCACGGTGCACATAAATCAATACAAATAAGCAATCCACACCACAAGGAAGAGACAATAACTCAAGCAATTCAAATCCATAATAATGTCATCAAAGCATTTGATCAGTCAACAACTTAGGTCCACAACAAGACAATTTAAAAAGCACAATTATCAACACGTTGATTTTTTCCATAATCTACTTATTTTATTCAATAAGATCAACCAAATGGAATAATTGAACGTATCACCTCATTCTCATTACGTCCCAACACACTTAATGAAAGGAAATACAAGATCCCACAAGTTTTATAAGGTTTAGAAGATCACTTGCCTCAATTCAATCAAAAGTCAATGCAAGGCTTGAACCTTCTCTTTCCAAACAATGTCCAAAGCCACACAATTTAATTCAATCAAGTAGCCACAATAAAATTTCGGAAATAACAACAGTCAAATCATTCACTTTGAAAAATAGGTTAAATCAACTAAAAAACCCAATTCTAAAATGAGGTTTGAATCCGAAAATCCTTACTTGAAAATGTTACTCAAGGCATTTGGAACTCATTGGTGAAAACCATTTCGAAAAAGGAATTAAAATCAGTTCACAATCACCACTTTACTTTAAAACTCAAGTTCTTGAAAAACCTTGTTATTTGCCAATAAAAATCTTGAGTTTTGATGTTAGAATCCATAAATGATAAAAGGGAAATGAACTTTTAGAGTTACAAAAGGTTTACCCAAATGATTTAGCACAATAAATCTCTTCAAAATTGCCTCCAAGGATTTTCCAAAACTCAAAATGGAGAAAAATAAGGTAAAACCCTGAAATGACAGGGCAAAAGGGTTTCTGATGTCGATTAAGCAAACCCCGAAAATATATGGCCTTCGCTTACACGAGTGTCTGGTGTCTCACCTCCCTCGTTTTCCCGATCAGAGTCTCGCTAATGTGAGGTTCGTGAAAGCGTACAACCCCATTGTGATAGCGAGGTATAGTAAACTCAGACCTCAACATCAAATGAGCCAACACAAAATCATCAAATGGACCTTCAGAATTACTTCGAGATCCTGAATACACAAATCATATACGCAGATTGAATGTACTCGATATTTTGGATTCGGTGGAGCCATCGAAATACGAATCTAAGGTCTCCTTGATTCGATATCCGTGAAAGTCACCAAAAATGAACATAATACCTGAAAGGACAAAAACAAGCTCGAGACCTCTCTTGAATCCAACAGAACTCTCAAAAATCTGATCCAAGCATCCAAACCCAAATGTTGACCAAAGTCAACCTAAAGGCTAAAATCTCAACAATTTCCAATTTAAGACCTCAAATCCTCAAAAAGACTCTGAATCTGCATTTATTATACGTAAATTTGAAATATTTAAATTAATTTATGTGTTATTATACTAAAAATATATTTAGGGAGTATTTTTTATTTTAAAAAATGCTAATTTGTGTAAGAATAAAATATATGTTATTATATTACTCATAAATAAGGGGTATGTAATACATTATGAGTCATCTTCCCCAACTTCAAAAATTAAGGAGCCATGGAAGCCCTTCCCCAACTGCTGCAACTCCGCCGCTCTACTAACTGATCTTTTCCATCATTTGCAATATTTCTTATATTTATTTGCTCATATATATATGATGTAACTACAAAGCATAGTAATCTATAATTACTATAAATAGATCACCATTAATATTCTATGAATAAATCGCCATGAATTTAATGTAATAGTGATAAATACTATATATGGATCATCCAAAAATAGTACTAGTGATGAATAATATTAATTTTCTAAAATTACTATAATGAACGCTACCTTTTGTAACAGAAACTTAAGCAATACAAGGAAAGTAAAAGATTTTTAGGAGAAGAGATATCAATAGTAATAATAAGGAATAACATAACTAGATTCTGTTAGAAAATGTACTATATATATATATGAACATTAGTATAGAGCAAACGAACCTCAAGTTCTCAGAGTAGGTGTTTAGATTTCTTCTTATATTCTTTAGGATTTGATTATACTCCCTCCGTCCACTATTGTTTGTCAGGTATACTAAAATAGTTGTCCAAAATTAATTGTCAATTTAAACAATCAAAAAACATTAGTCACTTTTTTCCAATTCTGCCTTTAATAATTACGTAACTACTATTTTCAAAAAGTAGCCATTTTAAAGTTACAAGACTACTTTAATGTGAAAAAAATAGTTTTCAAAAAGTACAAACCATTTTAATAATGATTGATAGTAGGGTTATATTAGTCAAATTGCATATTATATTAAATTTTTCTTAAGGGTTGTGCATGATCACAAACAATAGTGGACGGAGGTGTTGAAGAAGAAGGTAGCTGACGATTGGAACATGTCAAAAGAACAAGTCCAACGAAGCTAACTGACGTGTCTGCAGCAAGTATTGATGAAGAAAGGAAGCTGACGATTGGAACATGTCAAAGGAGCAGGTCCAACGAAGTTGACTGACGAGTTTACAACACTGCTGTAGAATTAGAGTCGCACTAGGATTAGACTACTTATATTAATTAGAATTATATTACGACTAGGATTAGATTATGACTAAACTTATAGTACAACTAGGATTAGATTATTTATAATTGCATTATTATTATTATTATTATAGTAGTAATAGGTATTGTAGTAGGACTCTAAGTATGAAGTGTGTGTGTGTGTGTGTGTGTGTGTGTGTGTGTGAAATTTAAATAATGGATATGTTGTGTTTTGTGCAGCGATGAATACTATAAATAGATCATCCAAAAATAGTACTAGTGATGAATAATATTAATATTCTATTATTACAAATTGATTGCTACCTTTTCTAAGGGAAACTTAAGCAATACAAGGAAAGTAAAAGAATTTTAGGAGAAGAGATATTAATAGTAACAATAAGGAATAACATAAATAGATTCTGTTAGAATATGTAGTGTGTATATATTATATGAACATTAGTATAGAGCAAACAAAAGTGACGTACCTCAAGTTCTCAGAGTAGGTGTTTAATTAGATTTCTTCTTTATAATCTTTAGGATTTTATTCTAACCTTTAAGCTGCTAAACTGCTCAATTTATAGTGTTGTATGTGAAATTTCCAAGGAATTTAAATAATGAATATGTTGTTGTGTTTTGTGCAGCGATGATAATGACAATGGCAACCGCAAATTTGCAATTATATAGATGCACTGCTGCATCCCCTGTTTATGGTTTAAAACGAAGATCGTTTTGTGTACCGAAGCTATTGCCTTTATGTAAAGAGAGAAGCATTACTTCAAAGAAGCTATTGCCTTTATGCAAGGAGAGAAACATTACTTGTAGTGGAATTTGGGGAGTGGAAGGGCTCTATACATTGGTACTTCCTTGTGATGTCAAAACTTCTGCTCGACAGTTTGATTCATCTGTTAGTTTTAATCATAAAACTCGCAGGGGATGCATATTTTGTGTCTGCCCCTACTTGTGAGGGGACAAAATTTAAGTTGGCAGTTCAAAATGGAATTCATGATACCATTGGGAGAGATCTGGTAAGTTTGATTATTCATCTTTGTTTTTTTGCAGATATGGAACAACTAATTAATGGTGTTGTCTTTCTTCCTAGGTTGCGATCAGTGTTAATGGCATTGTCACTTCTGGAGCAAAACCTATATTTTTCCATGATTTTTTTGCAACCAAACACCTTAAACTTGACCTTGCAGACAAGGTATGTACATCTATTGAAACTGTCTCCTTTTCCAGTTAAACAGAATTGACTTCTAATTGCATGTATGTAGGTCACACAAGGTATTAAGTATGGTTGCCAACAATCTGACTGTCATCATCTAGAGGTATTTCTGAGACAAAATTTCTAACAAAAGTTGAAAATGTGTGTGATAACATGTGTTTTTTGAATGTGGAATTGACTGATCAGTGATCTCTATATTGTTTATTATATGTTTGGTAAACCATGGTTATGGAATTAGTAAACAATCAGTTGATATTAATGTCCAGTTCCAGATGAGAGAGATACCAAATTTATGTGATAGAGACTGTGACCTCTGTGGTATTGCTGTGGGCATTATGAAAAAGGATTCAGTTATTGACGGGAAAAGTATCAACGCTGGAGACGTTCTTATAGGTTTACCATCTAATGGAGTTCATTCATATGGTTTTTCTCTTGTTACAAGGTATAGAGAAATTCATGTATCTAGTTAGCCTTTAAAATATACTCATATAATTTCATTTCCTTTTGTGTGTTGTTATTGATATGCTAACTTGTGCAGCGTACTGGACGAAAGTGGTTTTTCTTTGAAAGACCAGCTTCCTGGTGAATCTATTACACTTGGTGAAGCTTTGATTGCCCCAACTGCTATATATGTTAAACAGGTTTCACCTTTGGTTCCTTTCCTTTTACTTCTATTAAAATATCGGGTATGCAGTAACGTGTTTCAGGGATTTGGAAAATGAAGGTTCTTGATATCATTAGCAAAGGAGGGGTTAAAGGAATAGCCCACATTACAGGAGGCCTCTTCACTCACAATGACATCTTCAATGACAATATCCCTCGAGTATTTCCTAAAGGCGTTGGAGCCCTTATTTACCAGGGATCTTGGACAATTCCTCCTGTTTTTAAATGGATTCAAGAGGTGAGTATTGTTGAGAAATCAATTAGTTCTGTTTCTATCTTTAATTTTTGAAATATGGTCAGGCTGGAAGAATAAAAGATGCTGAGATGATGCAGACTTTCGATATGGGAATTGGGATGGTCCTTGTAGTAAGTCCAGAAGCAGCTGATCGGATACTTGGTGAAGTACACAAGACGAGCATTGCATACCGGATTGGTGAGGTTGTAAAGGGCGATGGAGTACGGTGGTCATCAGAAGATATCAATATCAGCATGTCTCCGTCCATTCAAGAATGACATGAAGTGATGATCAGCTATTCGTGAGTCATCATCTTTCGAGGACGTTCATTCAATTATTGCTATTTTAGTTTCAGACAATTAGAGTTAGCTAACTCATCTTAGTAGAGACTTTCAGACAATCAGTTATTACTCTTCAGATTTTGTTTATCTAATCTTTGATGTTTTAATAGACTTAATTCAATTTAGTTTCCGCATGACTCTTTTTAAGTTTTTATGAATGAGAATCATAGTGTTATCCCAGACCATGGATTAGTTAGCCTGGGGTCACTTGTGACTCTAAGCACAGTGTTGCTTGTGACATAATATGTCTTTGATACATAAGAGTATTTGTTAATTAGTTATGATTTAGTTTCTCTACCGCCATTGCTGAAGTCTCGAGCTCGTATCTTTGTTGATTGAGCTGAGATGACGAGAAAGAAGCTGGTACTGGATGTCTTGCTTTGTTGTAAGTTGTAACATATGTTGCAAAATATATTTTTTATATATTAAATTTAAAAATAAAAAATATTTTTAAAAAATTGCTTTATATGCAGGATAATGGAAGTGACAAAATAATCAACCCTGGGATAATTTTTTAGTTGCCTTTAATTCATTGTTTGGTTGCAAAGGTAGGGATAATTTATCCCGGGATTAACAATTAGTCCTAGAATAAGTTATCCCTCACTGGGGTGGTATAGTAATCCCAGGATAAGTTATCCTGGGATATAGTGTGTAAAATTAACAAAAATACCCCCCTTAAACTCTCTTTTATACACCACTTTTACATTCATACATATTAACATAATTTTTAACAATACAATAATATTCACAACCTTATTATTCATTGTTTTTATGATAAATATATTTTTCTATTAAAAATTTACATTTTATAAATACAATTTTTATTTATGAATATATTATAAGTTGAATTTATTTGTGTAATTATTATGTTTATTTATATTTTGATTTCTCTTAAAATGTCACTCCACTACTAAATTACATATTTTTCATTAAATAGTTTATTACTCACTTAATAATTATATTTTATCTATAATTAAAATGTAGATAACCTTTAATAATAAATTTTCTTTTACTTTAATAAACTTAAAATGAAAGTTTTATTTTTAAGCTAAATAAGATGAAAGTTTTATTTTTAAACTAAATAAGATGAAAGTTTTATTTTAAGCTAAATAAGATCAAAATCTTATTTTAAGCTAAATAAGATGAACATTTTATTTTTAAGCTAAGAATAAGATGAAAGTTTAATTTTTAAGTTAAATAAGATGAACGTTTAAATTTTAAAACATAAGGCACAATCATGGAAATGCATGCACAAAAATATTTAAACTAAATAAGATGGAAATTTTATTTTTAAGAATGAATAACTAAAGCTTGCAAAGAAAATGTAAAAAAAAAAAACTAAATAAGGTGAGGGTATTTTTGTAAACAAACAACTTATTCTCAAAAATTATACAATGAATATTAGTTTGAATATGACAAACCAAACAAGCAATAAAAACTAATCCCAACATAACTTATCTCAGCATAACTTATCTCAGTATAATTTATCCCAACATAACTAATCCCAGCATAACTAGTATTCAAACCAAACGACCCCAAAGTTATAACACTGCAACTCTTTATATTGCTCCCGATTAAAACTAAATTTGTTCTAACATCTCAACTCACGAATAGTATAAATTTTATAAAATAACCGTTTGAACCGTACCATTGACAGGTTATCACCCATACTTCCTTCTACTAATTTACTTGTCATCCTTTGTAAAATAGATGTTCATAATATTTGTCATTTTAGAAAATCAAATATGTCCATTCCGTTGAAAAAAAGACTTCAAGAATTACAATTTATGTAAAACTCACGGCCAAAGAATTTATAGATTGGTGCATGTATTGCTTCAAAGTCAGCTCATAAATATGCCTTGATCGGCCCTTCAGCTTTGCACGCTTATAGTGGAATGAATATTCATAACTCGATTCTCGAAGTAGGAACGCCAAAATCATGTGATTCTTGTTCCGTAGGAAACATTAAAACTTAGAGGTATATTTTTAATTATTTTTTCTTTCATTCTTTATGGAATATTTATTTTCCTCCTCACTTTATATTTCTATTTTCTTTTCCTCTTTATTAATTTCTTTTCTTTTCACTTTTAATTAATTTACATGTATTCTGATATATTATAATACTTACGATATAGTATTACTTTTCATTTGAAAAAGCAACTATTAAAATAAAGAAAACAATGAAAGATGGCAAAGAATGAGAAAAACACTTGTATTATATATATATATACTAGTCGTGTGTTGTACATTTGTCCCCTAATTGACATTAGAAAAATTAATTTATATAAGTAAATATATCATAGTAAAGCGTACATAAATTCATCGCTAAGTTTAAAGCTAAGTCCTTTTGTATGTAAGGGTGACATAAGAATATAACTCTTCACAAAATATAGCATGAAAATCTTGTGTTAGTTGTTGGAGGTTTGATATTTTTAATGCTTCATGAAAAATATACATTTTATTATATAAGAGAATTAATATATTTTAATTACTAAAAGTAACTTTTAATAATCAAAAAAGAAATTGTCTATAAAAAACTGTATAAAAAAAATATATTACAAAATGTCTAGGTTGTGTAACATCAAATTTATAGAAAATTACAAGTTCAAACGGAAAATAAAGTAAATAAAGACATGGCATCCATAATAAAAGACATCACATTTAAAATATATAGGCAAAAATATTGTGATATTGATTGAATTACATTTTGTTAGAAGTCGACTTGCTATAGACAAAATGTTTCATATGTGTAAAAAACTAAAAATCATAAAAAAATAAACAGAAAAGAAAACACGACTATGTTAAAAATACAGATACACTATATTTCTTGAACTATATATTAAAGGATATGTAAATAAAAATTAAATATGAATTCTAATACAATCAAATTCAATGTAACATTTCCACTAATTTTTACTTTACATTATTTATATTTTATTTTACTTTTGCACTAATTTTTGTACCTCTATGTAATAGTTAAGTACATGAATTTTCTAAACATTTGAGATTACATATAAAAAGGAAAAAGTACAAACATATTTAAAAAGATAAATGATAATCAAACAACGAAGAAGACATAACTATAAATGTTTATCAAAGACTTACTCTTTTACGGGTCTAGTTGTGAAAATATCACGCCGAATTTAGCATACTTACCCTCAAAATAATTAATTATAAATATAAATTGGGATTAGCTCAATTATATTTATATCCTAAAGATAGAAGAAATGAAGAATACAAAAATATAGTACTCAATTACGAAGTTATATTTAAAAACTAAAAAAGATGGAGTTATGAAAAATAAAAGTTCACTTACAACTTCATATTGGAGAATAGTCATCTTGTAATTATGATAATTTACATATTTCTCAACAAAAAGAAGATGAATATGAATGAAATTTTGAACAATACAGATAAATGAATCAGTAAGAATTCTTACAATTACAAATTGGTAATTAAAATTTTACAAATAATGTAGACTAACCTAATGTAGAATGAAAGATGATCACAAATTTGGATGAAAGAAGGGAGTTTAAATAATGTTGTGTGAGCGTCTTTGATAGACCTTCATTACCCACACTTAATTACATGAATTTAAATATAACTATTACTTAATATTTAATTAATTAAATAGATATTAATATTTAATTTATATTAGGGGTAAGATAAGGGCAAAATGATAATTCAACTTTAAGGTTAGGAGCTTCCCACTTTTATATATATATATACTAGTTTTTGTGTATGCGCGTCACGCGTGTAGCCAAGTGTACCCATTACTATAAACTTTTAGTAAATGACAATCGTGCTCCACAAAAGTCCTTAGACATCTTATTATAATGTTTGACTTGTAAATGTTTGGTATTTATAGGATTTAAGTTGCACTAAAAAGTATAAATGATGGTGGATATAGGAAGGATTTTTACCAATTAGTGTTACACAGATAATTGTTAGAGTAAGAGTGTTTGAAAATTAAAATAGTTATCTAATTTTATATGAATCATTGATAATGAACTTTATACTTTTAGATCTCTTTATTATTAATTAAAGAGGCAATATACTAATTCATGAGATAATGAACTAATTATAAATGCATGAATAGTCATTCAACATATATGCCAAATATTTCATATTATCCATGTAAAACACAAATGATCTGAAATACAATAAAATATCTAATATTTCATTGAGATAATTTTTAATTTCATTTGGAAATAAGAAATATAATAGTGTACATGCTCCACGTCAATAATTATATAAAGTCTAAATAAGTAATACCTATTTAATTGTAATCTAGACACAAATTTCTTTATATAAGCAAAGAACATATTTAACTAAAAAGGAAAATGAAAAGAATATATTATAAAAGAACATTTAAAACTAATACAAAAATCACTTGCAAATGGTCATCACTATAAGCAATTTACATGAAATAGTACAAATAATTCATTATTTTGTTGTAATTCATACAACATGATGAAAAAAGTATTATTTCCTTTCAAATATTCTTTACAATTAATCAATCAATCATAATGTCTTCGATCCAAATACAACAATAATGTTATTGCCCTTAACAGTTCTACAAAGATTGACGACAACTTTTCTTCTGCAGTTTATAACTATGACCAGAAAGGAAATCAAAAAAGAAGAAAGAAATGATATACCAAAGATGAGAAAATGGATCTTAATTTATTAGAGAGAATTGACATTAACATACTTTAGTAAGAAGATCAAATATGAGATTTGTAAATTCATTTCCCTTTCTTGGTGACTTTAAATAGAGAAACATTAGGTGAGGGGAGATGACAAGAGGCCCATCAGTTTCCTACTTAATTATGTAACCTTTGGTCTTCACCTGTAATTCATTGAACAATATAATTAGGAGTCTTTTTGTCTTCTTAATAATAATTACTCATCACAATTTAATATTAATTGACCAT